TTTTGCTTTGTCATCCCGTGCTGCCTTTTGAAATCTTCTATTCAACTCTTTAGTATCTTGAATTCTTCCCTGTGCTTTGGCTTCTCTGCACTCCAGTGCAATTTTCAGAGTCTCTTCTGACATCCATATTGGTCTTTTCTTCCTCTTCTGTCTTTGCAATGACCATTTGCACTCCTCCAAATGGTTTTTAGAGGAAGTTAATCACACAGGAGTACATTGCCCATCCTTCTCCTGCTGGGTGGCTGGTGGCCTCAAACCACAAGCCTTTGGGATTGCAGCACAGGTTCTTGCCACTAGGCCACCAGAGTTCCCTACAGCAACAATTTTACACTCTCTCTCCCATATTATTTATCACTCTTCTTTAATTCCTTGTCTTGTCATTAGATTAGAATTGTACATTAAATACAAAGGTGACTGTGGGAAATCTTATTTCTGAGTTCATGAATGAAAATTCTGGTATCATAGTGTGTCACCCATTCGGCTGCAAATGGAAAAGCCAGTATTTCAAATCAACTAGCAACTCTAGAGAAAGATTGGCAGACTCCTCCTATAAAGATCTACAACCTCAGAAACCCAGTGGAGGGTCACTATGGGTCAGAACTGACTTGATGGCAGTGGAAATCTCTGTAAGTCCATATAAATATGATGTTGACTGCTTGTTTCACATACATATGAGTGTGACTTAGGAAATATTATATTTCCGTTTTAAGAATGTTTAAAAATCAGAAATAAGTGCTGAATTTTAGCAAATATTTTGGTAACTCTAAGAATGACTATGCTTTTTCTAGTTGACCTACTAATATAACAAATTAATATTGTTGTTGTTAATGTATCATGGAGTTGAAAGGGACTCATTGCTGACTTTTTAGTGGGTTTTCAATAACTGTAAATCACATGAGAGGTGACTGCCCATCTTTCACCTGCAGAGAAGAAGCTAGTGGATTTGAATAGCTTGGTTTGGCAGTGCAAATCCTTACCCACTAGGACACTGAAGCTCCCTAATTATATGGGTTCTCTAAAATTACTATTTGGAAACAGGAGTGACATCCATTTCCTAAACAACATGCCTCTGGAAACTCCTATGAACTGTGATAAATGATGATACTTATTAAAAGGCTTCAGTTCATGGGGTCACTGTGAGTCATGCTTGACTAGACGGCAGTCAACAAAAACAACAACAACAACATTGCCATTGTCTCGAATTTCTGACATCAAGTATACAAAAAAGAAAACACTCAAACCATAAAAAAAATGAATAAAGAACAACTACCAAGGATCAAGGATTTACAAGATCTGAACAAGTTAACCAATAAGGTTACTTTTATAATGGAACTTAGAACTTTATACCCTACAAACGGAGACTACATGTTGGCGTAAGAAACATTTACTAAAGTTATTGTGCATCAACTAAAAAATCTGACCTTTTTTTCCCTTAAAGATAGTGACATCCCAAAGAGACAGACCATCTTCCTTGAAAGGAAATATGGAGAAACCACAAAGCTGATCTTGATAAACTTAAAAATATAAAAACTGTACATTTTACAATACAACAGAGCAAAACCCAACAAATGCAGAGATAAACTCATGTTTGATATATGCATTAAACTTTTTCTGTGCTGCTAGATTCAATTTATATGGGTTATTAATGATTAATATTATTGATATGTTAAATTATTAATGTTAACTATGAATGTATTTCTAAGTGAAATTAAAAAAGAAACCATGTTAAAAACAATAGAAACAGACACTGAAAACTCATCCCTTTCTAAATATTTTACTATCATCTATGCTCTCAAGGAGATTGGCTTTATCTAAGGATAGGACAATGACTAGGGAGGATAGAAGGAGAATTGATGCCTTTGAGCTGTGGTGTTGGATAAGAGTATTGAATGTACCATGGACTGCTAAGAAAACAAAACAGATTCATCCTTGAGAGGGTTAAACCAGGCTGCTCCTTGGAGGCAAGGATTCTGAGGCTTCGTCTAACATATTTTGGACATGTTGTAAGAAGGGACCGGTCCTTGCAGAGGGACGTCATGCTTGGGAGGGTGGTGGGACAGCACAGGAGGGGAAGGCCCTCTATGAGGTGGATTGATTCAGTGACTGGGGTAATTGGGGTGGGTGTGTCAGACACAGTGTGATTGGTACAGGACAGAGCAGACTTTAGCGCTGTTTTACATAGGGTCTCAACAACAAGAAGGATAGGACAGGGTTCTGATCTGTTGTTCATAAGATCACTAAGAGTCAAACTCAACTTGACGGCACCTAACAACCACAATAACAGAAGAAGAAATACTGTATCATAGCATACCACACATAGCTTAACTTCACGGTCAGTGACATCATGTTGGTGGTTTGAAATTAGCCATGGTGACTGTGTCCATACCACAGAAATAAAAATTGCTTCCAATCAAGATTTTTATTTCCCTGCAGAGTAAGTTAAACTTTATCAGCATACCACTGAGAAGATGCTGCATCAACAGTGCTGAAGCAAAGCTGACAGACTCTGGGAGCTGCCCCAGGAAACAGGTCATCTGCCTTCTCTCCATTACTTCACTTCTCATATAATATTTCAAGTTATTCTGTATTCAGTTATCCTATTTTTCTAAACATGTAAGATTGAGTATTTCTATAATAATTGAAGATAGTACCTTAGGTGTGGATGGAGAAGTGACAAGGGGTTGCACTTTTTGCTGAGAAACAGTGACAAAACGCAATGGATCTTTGAGATGGTTTTAGGAAATGTTATAAATACTCTGAGACCTTCATAATTGTTCCTTGGATTTAAGATAAGTTAGGTACAAAGAACACTTGTTCAAAGCTCTGGTGGCCTAGTGGCAAGAAGCTACACTACAATCCCAGAGGTGTGCGGTTCGAATCCACCAGATGCTTTGCTGGAGAAGGAGGAACAATCTCCTGTACCAGTCAGATCTCATTTGATGGTACACACACACACACACACACACACACAAAAATAAAAAAAAGAACACGTGTTCAGTTCCAATGATTTAGGAAAGGTCAACTCTTTATTAAATAAATACACACACACACACACACACCCCACACACACACGCGTGCGCGTGCGAAGGGCTAGCTCTCAAAAACTTAAGGCCAATATGTTTGAAGTCTTAGCTTTATTCAGTTTCCCCCTGCCTTGGGATACTCTGACCTCCACAGCCAGTAACATGGGCTTGTCCTTACTCGGGCAAGACCTCACCTTCTTCAGCAGACACCCGGTGCACCTGCTGCTTGTTTCCAGGCCAGAGGAAAATGGAGGTAACTGGGTCGACAAAGAGCCTGTAGTACCCAGCAAGCAGGCAGGCAAAGTCTTTTGCACTGTTGGACTCCAGCAGCAAAGTCAGAACCTTTGAAGATAATAAGAATGCCAGTCCTTGTACTTAGAAAGTGTTGAGAGACAATCCAAGATACAATTTTGGTACAATAGAAGAAAAACAACCTTAACCATGACAAGGCTGTGTGGAATCAATGAAATATTCCAAATGTACTCTGTCATGGTCCACGGGCAGGTCTCTGATCCCTCACCTTCTCACCTATAAGACCTAAAGTAAGTGAGCATGCATATGTGTGTGTGTGTGCGTGCATGCACGCGTACACACACACACACACACACACACACACACACACAGAGCGAATTCCTCCCATCTACTTTCCATATGTCTCCTGCCTCTCCTCCATCTTCTATTCCCTTATCCCTATCCAAACCACCCAACACCACCCTGTTCATTAGGTCAATGGGACCTCTTCAAGATGTAATCCAGCAAAGGGAGCAGCCCCAAGGGCATGAAGGATAGAGGATGAAGAAGAGAGTGACAGAATAAAGGACCATTCTTGAGCATATTGGGTAAAGATAAATGAAAAGAAAGGGTAAATAACTGTTGTAAAGTGGGACTGACATAGGAGTTGGGGGAAAACTAAGAGGGGATAAATAATATATACTGCATTGAAATACATGAGGGAGAGAACTGTTTAGGAGAAATACATGATTGGGTATTATTGTCATGACAAGAGTCCAGAATGAAAGCTGCATAGTGGAGTGGACTGGGGGTGGGGGACCGTATAACAATGAAAGGATTTTTTTTTTTCACTTGTCAAAGGGTAAAGTGAACTGGGGGGATGGGATGGGCAGGAAGGAAAGTGAAACAATAAATGAATGGAAATCAAAATAGAATAGAATAGAATAGAATAGAATAGAATAGAATAGAATAGAATTCAGAGGCTGAAAAAAATGATAAAGAAAATGGTTTTCTTCTAAAACAGACTAAGGTGAGGTTTTTGAGGGACAATAAGCTATTATTATCCATTTATAAGGCATTGTATCAATTCCATTGATTTTTGTGGATATTGAAAATTATGTAAGATATAGAATTTATTGTGGTTAATGACCAAATCTTGAGAAAATTGTTACCAGAGAACATGGCTTCATTTATATTAATATTGATGATGTGATTTTACTTTTTTGTTAAAAAGTTTGTTAATTAAAAAAAGGTGCTAAAGATAAAACCAAAAAAGAAAAGGTAAAAGTTGGGCTTTTCAGAGGTTTAAGATGTACCCTGTATCACTCAATAGGATATTTGAGCACTTCTCCTCTGGTGCTCCCACCAGAATTTCTGAATCCAATTAGAACTTGCCCATCAGGAAAAAGCCCATGGTCCAGCTCAGCTTTGTTCAAAGGAACCTTTCAGGTCCTGCCCAGGAAAATGCACTCTTTATAGAAAAGTCTTCCTTTAACAGAATAGGATGGACAATCCATCCTTCTAGGCAAATACTGGACATTTGACTTTACAATTATTTAAAAAATTGTATCCCAGATCCCATTCCAATTCAGCCCTTAACTATAGATTCAGCAGCTCTTCCCCCGTGTTACCTTGACATCCTGAAGATACACTTTGACCATGCTCACTTTCTCAGATTCTTCTGTAAGCTCCACGCGGCTGATGTTTGCAAACTCGGCCAGTGTGGACATGATCTTGAGCTTGCTATTGATAATCTGGCTAATCCCATACTTGGCTCCAACTAGTAGGGCAATGTAGGATTCTCTATCCTGTAACTGCAGAAGGGAGGAAGGTGGATGAGTTTCCATTCACAGCTAATGAAAATATATCCCACAGGTGCTAGCCCTGCTCCTCTCTCACAGAGCACGGAGCACCTTCTGCAGTGTCTTGTCAGGCACCTTGTTTCATCTTCAGATTTTCTGAAGGCAGGAGCCATGTCTGATTGAGCCTACCACAGGATTTGCACCAAGAAAGAGCATAGTAAACAATGATGTCTTAAAAGGGACCTCTGGCAGCCTAGTGGGTAAGATGCTTCAGGGCCAACCCAAAGGCAAGTAGTTCAAATCTACCAGCTGCTTTGAGGGAGAAGGTTGGGCAATCTACTCCTGTGTGATTTATAGCTGAGTCATTCCCACTCAACGGCAATGAACCATAACAACAATGTCTTATTAATTAGTTTCTCATATAAATCTCAGCGACTCGATGACACATAATAACAACAACAACATACAAATCTCAGTGCAGGACAGAGTCTTCAGGAATTTTCAGCTAAAAGTTCAATAGATTTTCAGAAAATCTCTAGGGTCCCTTATGACTGTAATATTGCAATTCTCTAATACATACCATCAAAGTGGCATTAAAGATTTTCCCACCATACGTCTTGAGTTCTCCAAGGATCTGTAGATAATTTAAGCGGAGCTGGGCAGCAGAAATAAGTTGCTTCAATAGAATAAAAATAAATTAGGACTGTTGAAGTCAGAGCTGTTCATTTGCCTAAAACCCAGACCATGCAGAAAATGCCTCCCATGTGGTTTCACAGGAAGCCGGGCAGGTCCTCAGGGGCTGTGCCTTCATTACCTTCTGTCCGGGTTCCAGCAAATTCTGGTTCCTCTTCATGTGGAAACTAATGGCTTTCTTGATGTCCTTGCCTTTCATGTTTCGGAGTAAAGTTGGAGATATAAAATTTTCTATTCCCCAGTCCTTCCTGCCATGAGACATTGGGACAATGAGGCCTATTTTTACAGTGTGTTGGCTTTAATGAAGAGCTTAATTGCATTTGATTCAGTGCTTAGTGTTCCCACAAGACTGCAATTATAAGCCTCCTTCTCCATTGGAAAAAAATTTGTATATCTTTTGTGCATGTAAGTGTGTGCAAATATACACAACTACACATGCTCCACAAAAGTCCTCCACAACAAAAACAACAACAAAAAGCCCTCCACAGCTACTCAAACTGAAACCATTTTGGGAGCTTATTACTCTTGGTATGATGTGATACAATAGAAATTAGAGTAGAAGTTCTTTTTAACCATGAGATTTGTGACAAATATTCATGGAGATAAGAGCGCCAGGGGGATCCCCAGAGTCACTCTTTAGAATGGTACTGACCCACCGCCTTGTTAAAAAGACAAGTCCTATGTTCCTTCTCCCTCAAGGACTTCAGGGATAAGCTGAGAATCTGTCTTATTTTTTTAAACATGATTCCTCATATAATTTTGATGTCCAGATTAAGAGAACAAAGACTTGGTGAGAGGGTTCTCAAATAAGGGCGATACAGATCAGAGCAAAGGGAAACCACAAGCTAATTATCGAGAGGTGTTGGGGGTGAGGGTGGAGAAAGGTATCGGAATCCTGTGACCTGAACCTCATCCAGTGGGGCAAGATAACAGACACTGACTCACACCACAAGGAAAGAGCCCTGGGGGCATAGCCGACAGGGAGCTGCTAAGCCAAAGACGGAGCTCCTCTCGTGGTTTGACTCTCCCTCAGGAGAAGGATGAGCAATGTCCTTTAAGCCTCCAAAAACTCTCTGGATGGTCAGCTCCGAGTTGGTTCTGTCAGTGAGTGGGTGACCAGTAAAGATTAGTTTCCAAGGCATTCCTGCCCGTAGAAGAGTTTAACATTAAACCTGTCAGCCAGCTTCTCAATACATCCTCCGCAGAACTAGGAATTTATAAGGAGGATCATGTGTCTTTCCATTTAGAGTTGGTTTTTGCCTTAACAGGGACTGCCAGGTTCTAACATCTGGGGAAGCCCTCCTGGGTGAGAGAGCACAAAGGAAACAACAGATGGACAGATAGACCACAATGTCACTGAGGTGTTCGTGGAGTGTGGGCAATATTAAGTAACACTGTCAGAGAGGGTGACACTGAAATGATTGTCTAGAAAATGTTTATGCAGTGTTTCAGTAGAAATTTGTTATTTTTAAGAAAAATATCCCTGTAGTTATAACAAAAAATTTTATAAAACCATTTAAAAAAAAATGTATCTATGTATGTGTCATCTCTCTCTCTCTCTCTCTCTCTATCTAATCTGTCTGTCTGTCTATCCATCTACATACTGGGGAGTTTTGGTAGCCTAGTGGTTAAGGAGTTACACTACCAACCCAAAGGCACATGGTTCAAATCCACCAGCAGGAGAAAGATGGTCAATTTCCCCAAATGCAATCTATAGCCTCTGAAAACTTGTGGGAGGGTCTGCTCTAACTCCAGTTACTTCAGACTCAACAGCAATGAGTTGTGTTGTTTGTTGTATATAGATGTTACTTTTGTGTGTTGTCAAGCCAGAACTGGCCCATAGCTGCACCTCCAGTGAGTTTCCCAAAGCAGCAAATCACACAGAAGGAGACTGCCTATTCTTCTCCCAAGAAGCAACTGGTAAATTTGAACCACATGCCTTTGGGATTGCAGTGCAGCTCTTACCGCTAGACCACCAGAGTTCCCTTTTGCTCTAAAAGGGATTGCCAGATTCTGATATCTGAGGTAGCTCTCCTGACTGAGAGAGGGTACATTTACATGCATCAAGGTTAAAATGCTATACTAATTTACTTTTTAAAACTTCTAATGAGTTCAAGTCAATGCAATCATTACTATCCAACAGCAATGATGCTCAAATCTAATTATTTCAATTGCATGCTGTTATTCTTATTGCTTTTTTTTAAATAGTCACTGAATTTGTCAATTATTTGGGGTGTTTTGGCTACAATATTGTGATAATTCCTATTTGAGACTCTATTCAAAAGTATATTTGGAATAAATTAAAGGCAAAGAAGAAAAATAGTGTCTCTCTTGCTCAATTACTAATAATTTCTGTGATTCACTGTAGGAAGATGTTACAAGACACTTTTGTTGTTAAAATTCATACAATTTAAGAAATGTTTTATGTAAGCAAATTACAGCTGTATTTATCACATATTATTCTATGATTGAAATAGATAATTAATACCACGAAGAATTTTCTACAATCTGGTATGGGAGCAGGCCCATGGTGATGGCTGGGAAGGGGAGCATCCTAACGCCCGGAATTACCCACACTGGATGACGTCACCACTAACAGCACCACTATGGGTAGGTGGATCAAGATCAGCTCTTGGCAATCTGGCTATTCTGGCCAGGGGCCAGCAAAGATAAATGCAGCCTAGCTGTTACTGACGGACACAAGAGTCTCCTGCCACTCACTCTATGTACTTCAAAGAGATCTTCTGTGGTTGAGCGCATGCATAGATCCGTTCCTGGATGTGCAGGGCCGCAAGTCGGAGAGCAGGGCTGCTTTTCATTTCCACAGCAAAGCGTTCCTGAAGCACATCACTGCAACTCTAGGAAAGATTAGATCAGAGGAGGTGGGAAACAGGAACAGGACTGTGTTCCCCGCACTCAGGTGAAAGGCGGCAGGAACCTTCTGAGGCCTGGAATCGTGTGACTCTCACTGTATAATTTTGATTAAGTTCCAAGATTCTGAGCGTTGGTGTCTTATATTGCTAAACGAAGATATAAAATCTACCTTACACAGATGTTAGATTTAAATTAGACTGTATCAATGAAAGCATAGGAGCAGCCCTGGTGGTGTAATGATTAAGCAGTAGGCTGTTAACCAAAAGATCAGCAGTTTGAACCCACCAGCAGCAACATGGGAGAAAAGATCTCCTGGTGATCTCCTCCCATAAGATTATGTAGAACCCAGCTCTGGTAGCTTAGTGGTAAGGAATTGTGAACCTAATGTAAAGGTACATGGTTCTAATCCATCAATTGCTCTGCAGGAGGAAGATGGGTAATCAATTCTCATGTAGTTTACTGCCTCTGCAAACCCACTGGAGAGTGAGCTGGGGTCACTTTTGACTCTATAATACACAACAGGAAACTTGGTGGTGCAATTCTATTTCGTCACATAGAGTTGCTATGAGTTGGAATTGACTTAACAACATACGAATATAATAACAACATAAGAAAGCATGTATAAGGCACAAAATATTATAAAAATATAAAATGCTGCTGCTGTTGTTATTATTATTATTGTTACGGTTTCTGTAAGATTTTAGGGAGCTCTGGTGCCATGATCTATAGAGAGTTTTGCTGCTAATCTAAAGGCTGCATACTTCTGGCAGTTCAAACCCACCAGAGGCTCCGCAGGGGAAAGATAGGCGATTTCCTCCGGTCACAATTTATAGCCTTGGAGACTAGATGGAGGGTTGGCACAAGTCAGAACTGACCCGAGGGCAGTGACTTTGAGTTTTTTGTTCTGGGGTCTGACTAGCTATGCCACATGGTCTGTTTCTCCATCTGTAAAATGGTGATGCCTGCCAGGATGGAACTGTCTTCCATCAGAATGAAAACAACATAGCAAGTCTTAGGTAAGATACCTAAGGTAGAATTTAAGTTGTTTTGGGGATGCAATGGTAAAGAGCGTGGCTGTTATCCAAAAGGGGAGCAGTCTGAACTCCCCAGCACTTTAACAGAAGAAGATGTGGCAGTCGGCCTCCTTAGAGGTTCCAGCTTTGGAAAGGCTGAGGCAGCTCTACTCTGCCCTACAGGGTAGCTACAAACAGAGTTGATTCAACTACAATGGATTAAGGAAGGATTTAGAGGCTGTCCCTACCTTAGAATATGCCTGGGGTAAAGGAACTAGTTTTTGGCTCTTTGACAAAGTATCTGAAACCAATCACATGACCTTCCTCAACCGCCATTTTATCATCTCTAATACAGGGCTTTTGAAATATTAAGCCCCTTTTAGCAATCGGAACGATTAATTCTAAAGATCCTAAAAAGGCATTAGAAAATGTATCATCTACATTGAGGGTTAAGCCTAAATTATTATAGTGCAAATCTACCACAGCAACCCAGGGATGCAACAGAGAGTTCTGAAAGGTAATCAGGCCCATTGTCCTTTGGATAAAGATCATTTCAGGGAGGAGCTTAATTGATTTGAGCTGTTGTTCAGAATAACCCAGTGTATCATCTTCGAGAACAGAAAATGTTATTTTAGGAAGCACAGGCGCAGTCACCTGCAGGTAGAGGTATTCAAACGCCACAGGGTCTTCTTTCAAGAGGTCCAGGGGGTCCTTGGGAACAAAACACACCCTGAAGAGGCAGCGGCAGTCATGTGACTCTTCCTTCTCTACCACCTGCAATTCGTAAGAGAAATACCATTAATTTTCTGTCTTTGTCCTTTGCCATTATTACAGAAAACAAATATGTTTTTTAAAAGGCAATGAGATATAGTCCCCGGGGACTCCAACACTAGTGGTTTTCAAGACAGTTGTAGATCTTTGACATTTGGAGTTCTTTTCCACGGGTATAAAATATGAATACTTCAAAAGAGCACCCATCCAGTTCTCCTTTCTAGAAGCAGCCCATTTCCAGTTCCTCATGTGCTCTAAGACTGCCTATGTAGATTTGTGCTTCTATTTATGTATGTCATTAATTTTTCAGCTATTTGTTGTTCAATTAGTTGTTGAATAATAGGATTTACACCTTGCCTTTATGTCACTTCAGTGATTTTAGAAATTTAGTTTGGTTTTCTTTTCCAATTCAAATGGAAGTGACTTTTTAAAAAAATTAAACAACAGTATTAGATGGTGAATGAGCAGAGTAAGGTCTGCAGTGAGGACTGCGCAGAGTGGTGTCCTCGAGCAGGCTGTCCCTGCTTAAAAAATGTCTCCCTCTTCCCGCTTGTCAAAACCTGTCTCACCCTCACACGAGCATGCATTCAATAAGGTTTACTGAACTGATATGTACTTGACTCTGAATTGAATGGCTGAAGAGAGTGTATGGTACAGACACACTGGCTCTGTCTTCCCTCTCCTGCCATCAGGAACCAGATCAAAAAGATAAGTCCCATCCCCCCAAAAAAAGCCTTAGCCCCAGAACCAAATGCTTCCCTAATATCTCAAAGGTAGTTGAC